GGGGGGGGATACAAAATAGGTAAAGAAAAAATGATGAATATACCTGATAAAGATAATCCTATCACCTGCTCGTCAACACCCGGTAGTTGAGGACAAGATCTTCAGGTTTCTTCCATATATAGGCACGGACAGTTGCTAAGCTCATATCAGGAGATAAAACCTGGTAAAAGAACAAAAGGGAGTTCATTAACCAGAAATCAGAGTGAGCAGAGCCTACATATTACCAATTGACCAATTATCTACCACATCCTCCAACATATACAAAGATTGTTTGGCAGTCCTAATGCTAAAATATGACTTTCAAAGCTTCCATAAAGTACAAAAAGATGAAATGGAAACACAAAACAGTGCTTGAAATTAATTCTTAACCAGTTAAGCATACCACACACTAGAAGACAGAATCCTGAACTTGCCTGGTTATTGCACAAGATTTCTATAGATGGCTTAAGCTTTTGCCAAGGCTTCAACCCAGTCCGAAATAAGCCATCTCCTCCAAGAGCTGGGTGTGTAACCTGTCCTCCAGTTCCATCTGAGTTTATATTATCCATGGGTTTGTCAAGAACCATCTTTTCAACGACATAGTTGATGACCTGAAAAACAAATCAGTGCAACTTTGTCATATTCGTCCTCTACATAATGTAGATTATTTTGCAATAGATTTGTAAGAGAACCACGAAAAGAAAAATGTGCAAGTGTAGAATGCAGAACATAACAAGTGACGTGAGTAGCCAACAGGGGCCTCTGAAGATCACCACAACACTGAATAAACCAGAGATTCAAGGAAAAGATGCTTACTTTGTGAATTCTTAATATGCGAGGTGCACTCAGCTTTCCTTGGGTAAGGATCTGGACAGTAGAACCCTCACATGGATGCAAGTAGAAGCTACATCTGCAAACCCATTGAGAAAGAGGGGAAAAACTGGTCAGTGGAAAAAGTAATTTTGCACGTGAAGGAAGGATCATAACATGGAGATGTAACTGCCCTCCAGAAAGATTGCCTTTTAGTTGTAAAAAAATGCTACTATATAATATCAATATGCAAGCCAAGGACAGTGAACAACTTAGAAAACAGTTATATTGAAATATTACTTGGTATTTTCCCTGGGAGGCAAGCGATTGTTCATCACACAATCCATTACCCACCATGGCATGTCCTTCTCATCCTCCATTCCATCTAAATCAGTAATCTTTTTCCTCCATGGACCACTTTGAGAGCCCTCTGTAATAATTGATGGAGGGGATGCTGCTGAAAATTCGAAGGGGGGATATACTGCAGAATCATTGTCAGCATTACCATCTACTTCAACTCTTGATGCAGTCAAATTCCTTGTAGATACATCCTTTCCAGGTGGGGCTTCCCCATTGGCTGAAGCTTGAGATCCAAATCTCTGCTTTCGTTTGGTTAACCAATGAGCCAACAGCCCTTTAAGAGTTTCTCGAGCTAAATTAACCTAAGTATTAAAAAATCCAAACACAGAAGTTAGTTCATCTCTTGAATAAATATTTAGTAATACTTACCATTTCAAAAAGAAAATGGCAGCTAAATAAGATCTGAAATATCGAAAAGTTCAGATGAAGCGTATCAGTAAATACCTTGTCATCTTCAGGCTTCCCCGGAATGTTGAGGTCAGCAGAGTACATCTCAGCAGAAAAGCATTGTGGAGTATCCAGATGTACAGCCAGGCTTCCAAGCCTAGTGTCCACAGTGAACCATGCAGGGATGCTCACCTAAAGAGGCAAACAATATCAGAAGGAAATTTGCATATGAAAGTTGGAGAATTCTACAAAGATATTTACCATCTCAAAAAGTTCTTCTTTCTTCTTCTCAAATGAAACCTACATTTGAAAAAAGAAAAAAAAAACACGGTGAAAGGAAGTTAAGAGGACACAACAAAAAAGAACTTAGAGGCAGAAGGTGACAATTATCATAACTCAAAGGAAATTAAGTAAAAGCATTCTCAACACGTCATTATCACTTAGCACATCACTTGAAACATTACATTCTAACCTCTCCATAGTTGTGAATCACAGCACCTCTAGTGATCTCCCACAACTTCACTGTACCAGCAGCATCCTTTAAAAGCACAATCCAGAATCAGGTTACATGATTATATTCTTTCAAAGATAGTTTAACCCATTAAAAAAATAAGTCAGAAGCCACAAGGGAAAAAGGCAAGACAAATTTACCTTAGTCAGGACATGTCTTCTGTTGTTCAAAATCTCGTGTTGCACTATTCCTGGAGTTCCAGGAATGCTAAGAGATGGTTCTTTATAGACAGGCACCTACATTATTGGCCAACTGTCAGTTTTTCAAGATTTAAATATGTGAAGAAATAAAGAAAGAAAAGAATATTTGGGAATAAATTGCTTGCTTATTCCCTCAAACACTTTGGAATTTAAAGCAAAGGATCAACTACAATTGCTAAGTCACATAAGAAAAAGAAAAAGAAAAAGAAAAAGAAAAAGAAAAAAAGATTTTGACTTAGAAATACAAATGATCCATAGAGAGCACAAAAAATAATAAATCCTAATACTCTCCTCTTTAATAAGTTCCCGAATACAGTCTTACATATAGCAATTATGTTAGCATGTCAATAGACAATAGGCATTTGAATTTGATGAAACTTTCTTGGTTAGCCCAGGAGAACACAGAGCAAACAGAACATAAAAGGGCGAAAT